AATTAATGTCGCGGTGGAATCACATGAAAGGTTCGGATGACATAACTTGTAATTTAAAACCTTAGCAAGATGATGAGAAGGATATTTGAACTGATAATGGTTCGCCTAATTTCTCGCACGTGAGGACTCTAGCTCCCAAACACGTAGAAATCCCTAATACACGACAGGTGTTTTTAGGAATTAAAAGTCGAAACCGTTGTTCGATTTGTGGATCGCATCTGTGACTCATTATCCTTGCGATAATTTCGCTAGACTCTCCTGGCACAAGTTCAGCAAGCATTTTTGAGAAAAGTTTTGAATTCCTTGTATTTGTAAACATTTTTTTTTTACTATCCGAAAGTATTTTCAGTTCTTTTGTGTTTCAAAGTTGATTAAATTACCGTCTCCTTATTGTTGACCTTGAGGTGCTGTTGGAGATTCTCTCTCTCTCTCTCAGCATGCTATATTTGAACTGATCCTTATACCATAGATTTTCACCTTACTAGACCTTACAAGGAACAGTATTAACAATAGGGAACAGTGGAATTTTTTAAAAATAGAATGCGTAATAGAAACTCTGCTTTAAATTCACAAAAATGATTAAAATTATACAAAATTATATTAAGGTTTATAACATGGCCCTACTTGGGATTCAGTGTTCAAAAGTATCATGTTTGGGATCCAGTGATCTCGGAATTGGTCATAGTTTGTATCCAGTACTTGAAACTGGTCATAGTTGGGATGCAGTACTTGTGGAACTCTTCATATTTGGGATACAGTACCCGGAACTGGTCATAGTTGGGATCCAGTACTCGGAACTGTTCATAATTGGTACTCAGTACCCGGAATGGGTCATAATTGAGATGCAGTATTCGAAACTCGTCATAGTTAGGATGCAGAGCTCAGAACTGTTCATAGTTGGAATCCAGTACCCAGAACTGGTCATAGTTGGAATCCAGTACTTGGAATTGTACATAGGTGGTACCCAATATCCGGAACTGGCCATAGTTGAGATGTAGTACTCAGAACTGGTCATATTTGGGATCTAGTGTTAATAACTGCTCATACTGGGATCCTGTGTTCCTGATAGTTTATACTTAGGATCTGGTGACAGTAGCGCACACAGGAATTTTTCAAGGGGGGGTCCGCGGTCGAAAGTTCACCATTATTGTATCATGCTCCTTTTGATTTTGTCGATTTTCGGAAACAAAACACAGTAAAAACTAATTATTGAATAAATAATTAGCATTAATAAATAAAATTAATCATTAATAACAAATACTTAATTAAATTTTATGTGCTATATACTTAGAATTATAATCAATCGGAAAAAATCAAGGGCTTTGGGGGAGGTCCGGTCCCCCAGGACCCCCCCTTGTGCTCACCACTATCTGGTGATCATAAATAATCTGATCGGAGTAGGTTTATCCAAAGAAATCAATGAACTAGAAGTCTTTCCACGGATATTAAAGGAATGATCCAAGCCCTGATTGGTAAAGTTTCTCTTGAGTATTAGTAATAATTCGTATTGGGCTTTTATAAATAATGATTTTGTGCGTGTGCCTACGGTTTGAACTTGTTGTTAAGGTTTCTTCAGTTGTTAGAAAACCGCAATTAGAATATATATATTCTATCGTATTTTGGAGCATGTGATACTATAAATTATATTAAACATTACATAACTACATCTAGAGCAAGAGCGTCAAACTCAACTAAGGCCAAACTTGTCTAACTTGGGCCAAACAGAGTTTAACTTTAGGTGGGCCGCAAAAAAACTCCATATTCATAGAAGCGTAAGTTTATTTCGAATAATACATTATAATAAACTTAAATAAATGAACAAGAAAAATGTAATGCTTAAGTCCTGACACTCTCTCTCTCTCTTGACATCTCTTTTCTCTGCTACTATCTTTCCTATTTAGGGAACATTTTGATATTTCATTACATAATATTGTGTACCGATACATTGACCGGGACGCAAAAGTGTTCGTTGTGGGCCGAGAGTTTGACACCTCTCATCTAGAGAATGGACTAAATTCATGTGACGTCATAGGCACATGATAACTGAGCCACGTGTTTTCGGCAAATCAGTTCATAAATTAATGCGACGTCATAATTATATTATAAATATAATCACGCGCTTCCTGCCAATTAGTTTATGGGCTTCACTGTTGCCAACTTTTGCTTTTTGCAGGAACTTTCTTTTAGGAAGTACATATTTGTCAACGATATAATAATGCACATAGTTAAACAAAATGCACTTAATTTAAAAGTATTCGTAAAATGTAAGTATTTTTTTTTTCAATTTTGAAAACTATTTGAAGAATTTTCACACGCGAACTCTTTACCCAATCATCAAATTTTAAGGGTTATCTAAACTTTACAAGTTGAACAACTTAGTATGTAAATTTTTAATCAATGGGAACCACGTGATTGCCGTTATCATGTAACCATCATGAATTTAGTCCATTGTAAAATATAAAATGCCCAGAATCGCTGAGATCTAACATGCATTATCTCTCTCTTCTCGGTATTCTTTCCTTAAAAAATGTATCTTTTTTTTAAAAAAAAAAATATTAAATAATTTAAAATTGAAATCCCATCTTAAATGGTTTTTTGAACCAAAATAACGTTTCATCAACTTCCTGCATAAAATATTCATTATGCAGTAAGAACGTTATTATTAACTGAAATTGTAATGAAAGGCAAGGTCTTTGAAAGGAAAAGATAATTTCTCAAAGGATTTCAACAGTTTTTTCCTTTAGTACCATCACCAGATGACCATCATAATTGTTACGGAAGATGGTGTTAAGTACAGTTGACGTTCTCAACAAAAATCAATTTAGACCTAACACTTCCGACAGACTCGACTTATTTTCAATTTTAGCAACTGCTCATTGTTTTTGCCAGCAGTTGCTCGTTAATGCCGGATATTTATTGTAAAAAGGATGACTTGACGTCTATTTTATGTTAAGCCTCCGGCCTCTATTACATTGAGGGAGGGGTCGCAAGGCCAAGAACTATTAGAAGGAAAAATACACCACTAATATCCTCTTCGCCATTGACTTTTAAAAAGCTTCTATTTATAGATTGGATTTTTAAAAACTTTTGCAGTAACATAAAAGGAAACGAAGCCTAGTAATTTGTTGCGAAAGAAGCTTTTAGAGGTGGGAGGGTCAATTAAACCAGGGGTAGAGAGGGAAGATGAGAACGAGTTCGAGAGACGACCGGTTTTCTCGTTGAGATAGATCTCCATCTTTGAAAATGAGGTCATCGGAATTGCTTCCTCCTCCGCAGAAGGGTCCTCTTTTATCTTTTTAGAGAACAATGCCGGACCCTTTGTCTTGTTTTCCCTTTCTTTCCGGCGTCCTTTCGCCAATAGGGTTAAGAGGTAAGATGGAAGATGACAATCAAAGCGGGAGAACCAGTCTTAAGGTGTTTATCTGATGAGGGACTCAGTCAAAAGTGAAATGTGTTGGATCGGATGCTGAATAGTTTGAAAAAGCTCAGATCTGAGGTTGGGAACATAGAATAGATGCATTTGGAATGAAATACACTGTGAATTGATAAATTTTTTGTTAAATTATGCCAACACTTTTTTCAGTAAGGAAACATAGACTAAACAATAGTGGAGATTGAATATTTTTTCAATTCCTCTACTATAAGTTAACACTCTCTATATACATCTTGCTCCAAATTTTCAATCGCGCGTTAATAAAATACTTTCTATTCATCCATTCACGTTCAAATACATTTTTTTAAACTTGTAATGGATTGACACTTGATGTTTTTTTTAAATATTAATGCATTAATTAAACTAAAATATGAATAAATAAGATAACAAAAATAATAGTTCAGCAACATAAAGAAAAAGCAAACACATTCGTTGTGTCCCTGTAGCGAAATAGGTAGCGCGTCGGACTACTATTCCAAAGGTTGTGGGTTCGAATCTCACCTGAGTTGGCCTAACTTCTGAGAATGTGACTTTTTTTTCTATACAATTTTATTAGAACAATTAAATTTAATGAATGAAAGATAGTTACAAAAAATATAAATAAATAAATAGTCCACCTATGTAGAAAGAAAAATGGAAAATGGCAAGGAAAATCGCTTTCTATTTTGCCACTTAGCAGTGTGATTCTGTCATATGTATATACATATTTATATTAATGGTAACTATTTAATAAAAAGTAACTAAAATAAAAAATTTCTTTGTTGTCTAAAGTAGGAGTTTACTTAAAAAAAAATTTCTATATATGTATTACTTGTTCTCATAGAATTTCAAAACCTACCTATACTGAAAAGATATTTTATGGCACATACATGAAGGGGAAAATAAAATAATTTAATTTCTATATTAAGTATTGCCACAAGGAGAATGGAGTTTAGGTATTTGAGTTTCTTTTTATGGCATAAAGTCAAAGTAAAATTTCATTTAAAAAAACAAGTATTTTAGTACTTTTTAACATTAGTTGCGTTGAGAGGACACCTATTAAATAGCTACACGAAAACAAAACAACGTCAAGTAGATTTAACAGGTTTTGGGGTATTAAATTTTTATAAAACAGTTGAAATTACAGTGAACAATAAAGCGGAAGAAGGATAAAAGCTTGATCTGACTGATTCGACAAACGTGCAAAAAGAGCTGGGGTTATCAAATGTTATAATGTAGTTTGTATTGTTCACTTCTTACACAGTATTCATTTATCAATAATCATCGTTTGAGGCTATATTTATATTGTAGGAAAGTTATTTTATTCAATTTCTGCCATTAGCTCACACTCTCCCCATATATACTTATTTACATATATATCTTGCTCAAAATTTCAAACGTTAATAAAATACTTTTTATTCATTCACTCAAGTCCAAATGCAATTTTTAGACTTGTAGTGGATGGCATTTGATGTTATATAATACAGTTTTTTTCAAATATTAATTCTTTAGCTAAACGTAATTTAATAAATAGTAACAAAAAAATAATAGTCCAACACCCTATATAAAAAGGAAAAGCGCTCGTTGTGTCTCTGTATTGCAATGGACAGCGCGTTGGACTTCTCATCCAAAGGCCGTGAGTTCGAATCCCACCTGGGATGGCTTAATTTCTATGCACGTGATTTCTTTTTACTATACTATTTTATTGGAATAATTAAATTCAATCAATGAATAAATAGTAACAAACAAAAATAATAGTTCGACATCCTATACAGAAAGGAAAATGGAAAATTGCCTTCTGTTTTGCCACCTAATACTGTAATTCCGTCATATGTATATACATATTTATATTAATTGTAGCTATTTAATAAAAAATAGCAAAATAAAATTTTTCTTCGTTAACCTAGGTAAGAATTGACTTCATTTATATATATATTACTTGTTTTGAGTCTAAAATCATCTAACTAAATATGTCTTATCTCAGTATTTAAAGAAATTCAACCCCTCCTTAGCAATGTTATATATATATATATATATATATATATATATATATATATATATATATATATATATATATATATATATATATATAAACTTTGATATTATTTTATAAATTTATTTTTCTCTTAGTTTCCAAACCATTTTCCGCTTAGACAGGTTACAATTAATAGTAACTTTTTTTCCTCGACAGAAATCCACCCTATTATACATGCTATAAAGTTTTTTTTATTTTGTTAAGCTTTAAGAAAGTTTAAATAATATAACTGATTTTTTTAGACAATTTTGCACTAAATTTTATAATGCAGGTAATTTTAATCGAATCTGGGAGTAAATTATGATTTCGAAACCTTTAAAGCGGTTAAAAGTAACTAAAAAAAATAAAAGTGGCAGTTTATTCAAACAATTTGGGGTTCTGAATTTAAATTATTTCATGTTCTGTAAAATATAGTTTTTGTAAATACGAGTAGAAATAAAAAAAAAATCACCCTACTGAATGTTTATAATTTATGCCCATATTTTTATATGAATGATTCTAGTTTTTAAAATGGATTGGTATTTAATACGGAACTTGAATGCTACAAACGGGGCCGTGAGCTCCAGTTAAGGTTACATTGTACTTAAAATTTTAAAATAATTGATAACTTCTTTTATATTTCATATATCTGTAGTTTTTATTTTCATTTTAATATTTCATGTGATTCAAAAATATTCATCAAAATACTTAACAAAAACTATTTCATTTCCTTTATTAGCATTTGAATTTATCGGGAAAACTCTTTTCTTTTTCTCATGCTGTATCAATCAATATAACAACTAGTGTAAAACATACATAAAATCTTTAAATAAGGAAAAAAAATAACAGAAAAAGGAAAACTGAATTAAAGAAAAGTTTTAGTGATAGATATCAAAAGTCTATTGTGGTCAGATAAATAATAGTAATATGTATTTATTACTATCAAAAATAATCAATGCATATTTTGAAATTTATTTCTGCGGATTTGTATTTAATTGCCAGTGTTATTTCCTAAAGTTCTCATTCATTTCGTCATGAATCAACACTCAATTTAAATTCATCCTGTGTATAAAACAAGTGATATAAAAAAATTACGCCAATTCCTACTTAAATCAACAATGAAACATTTTATTTTAGCTACTTTTTATTAAATAGTTACAGTTAATATAAATATTTATATACATATGACAGAATCACAACATTAAGTCGTAATTAATTTTTATTAATTATCATTAAAGTTTCGTATCGTCATCCAAAACAATCGTATCAATAAAATTTCAGTTCAACTGAATGCTTTAAAACGTGTGAAATAAAACCTTTTCAAGTTTTGACACAAGTCGCCAAAAAAGTTGCTAAGTCGCAAAAATGATGCCAACGTGGCTGTACTGGTAATTCTTTAAATAATTAGTTTTAATCAATTAATTTTTATTAATAAAATTAAATTATTGTACTGTCATCCAAAATAATCATGTATATAAAATTTTAGCTCAATTGAGCGCTTTATAATGTATTTTATTAATGATTGAAAATTCCACCAAGATTAATAAATAAATATATAGAGTGTGAACTAACAGTAGGAATTAAAAAACCCTTTCTTTAAACAGGATATGAATTTGTAATAAATAAAAATAAATAATATATTTATCTATATTATTATTCCCTTAACTTTCATGTTACTAACGCTAACAAATAATTCAATTTTTTTTAACCTGTTTTCTAATTAAGCATTTTTTATTATTATAATTCATTACAGTCACAATTATTCCACAAAGTATTCAAAGAAAAATGCGCATTGAGAAACTTAACAGAATATTATGATTCAATAAGTAAATAGTACGCGCTATTTTAAACCCTTACGTGTAAATTACATGTGTTTCAATAGGTAATCAATTCTCAGTGCTCTCGAAAAGCAATTTCGGAACTGTAACTGTCTATTGTTATAAGGAAAAGAAGTGAAAATAGCGTATTCATGAAACTTGTAGAGAGTCCCTAGATTTGCAGAGATAACCTCATAGGGTTAATCGCAGTTTTAGCCTCATTTTTGCTCTGTCATAGGTAGCAAACAACTGCTCTAACAACTCAGTATCTAGTAACACGTAACACTTGATTGAATATAAAAAATAATCCAATATGTTTGTATATAAATATATATACACTCATATATATTTATCTTTGTAGTATAAGAACTATTTATGCGAGATATATAAATCTTACGTAAAAGCGATTAGTTACAAAAATAACATTTAAAGCACAGACGCGGGTTTCAGCAAATGATATTGTTTATTCCAAATGTGTAAAAATTTATTTAACAGGTTTTCCGTTTTTTATTGTTTTTAACCTGGTTCTTTTGAATAAAAAGATAGTTTTATAATTGCATAAATCAATTTAAATCATTTTTCAAAAAAGAGATTTTAATAGTTTTAAAATGAGCAGTGATTTTAGTAAGATCTTTTGCAGGACTCATAATTCCTGCACAATGGTTCTACTATAAAAAAGCTATAAAAAAATTCACATTTTGGAAATAATTATGCATGCAATTGGATGCTTTACGTGGCTGTAAAACTCATTTAAATTATGAATTGCATATGATAGACATAATGAATAAGATACTTGAATACATTAACAAGCCATGGTAAATGTCTCTGAAAATAATTGTGAATATTTTTACAAACGATTTTACTTAAAGAAAGATTATCACATGATTATTTGTCTATTTTGCATCATGCGCATTCATTTTTAAATAGCTTTTTGTGGCTAAATTGTGGCAACAGTTAAGTATTTTTTGTTGTTCTATTTTGTTTTTACATTTTAAGAGAGAATTGCATTTTGTGTATTTCTTCCTCTCTGCTATTTTTTATAAGATTTTAACTTATTTACATACTCGTTTAGCAGATTAAATTTTTTAGTAAATTTTTTAAGTTGTAAATAAATTTCAAAATGTAATCCTAAACTGCAAAAATCAAATTTTGTAATACGATTACGTAAATTTCAAATTAAATATTTATGTGCATTTTGTTTTTCAAAAAAAATCGTATGCTAGTCTTTTCAAACAAATATAAATCATTCTTCAAACAATAAATGGAATTAACTAATAAATGAATGTATCATTTTCTCAATAAAATTGGTCGAATAATTTTACTAGAACTTGAGTTTAAGCTATATTTTTATTGCTTTCTTGTTGAATACTTATTCCAAATTTTAAATTCAATTGCAAAGAGGTGAAGACAAATGAAGTCATGACGGATGCTACTTATATATATAAATCTGTAATAAGTAAAAAATAATTTATAGCTTACTTCTAACCACTCATATAAGCTGATATGAAAAATGGACATGTGAAGCTCCTCAAACGCAATGCTAAAAAATCTATTGTTTAGGTTTGTAAACTTCCAAACATACAATTGAAAAATTGACTTTTGATTGAGCACACACACATACAAAATATTTCTGAATTCTGTTTTATTTTAACAGAAGAAGCAAAAGTCCCATTACTTAAATGTTAAATAATGGAAAAAATTTTTGTTTCTCAATTTCTATCTTGAATATGTGGCCGCGGTAGCCTAGTGGTTAAGGATATAGACTCGTGGCTGGCGTGTCATGAGTTTGAGCCTGGTGCCGCTGCAGCCCCGCAGTGTAGAGGGGGTCGTTGCACGTTAAATCTGCTGATGCTTAGTGCCAGCTCAGGTGTCGTCCTCGTCACTTGACCATGGTTTAAAGTTACGAGGTGAGTCGCCCAAAGCCCTCGTATAGCATTCTAGTGCGACGTAAATATTGCTCTCACCCACTCTATCCTGAATATTGGTTATTGCCATTTACTAGCTCAAGAATTTTAGAGCTTCAAACTGTTTATCGATACAGAAAAACGTAAAATATTGCAAAATAAATATTAAAGTTTATATTATCTGTTTAAATGTGTCTTTAACGGAAAAAATTATTAATAAAAATACTTATTTTCTATCGATATTTGCGTGAAACCCTACAACGAAATTTTTAAAATTCGATTTGGAACAGCATCGAGATTTGTGTTTCAAAAATTTATTGTACCCATTTTCTGTGTAATAATTGCTTTTTCCCTAAAGGACCAACATCCGAGTCATATAGGATGTTCGGAAAAACACGTTTTTCGTTCCCTGTTTACACGCGGAGATAATATATATATTTGTTATATAATAAATACATTAGACATGATTTTATGTCGCGTTTATAACTCATTAAACAACAGTTTTATCGTGTTAATTTAACGTTTATGTGTTTATAGCTGAGTAATAATCCACGTTCGAATTTTTTGTCTTTGAAATGACTTTGCTGTCGTCATGTTTTTATACAATTGCTTGTGTCAAATAATTGTTGTTAATCACAAGTACTGAAACGAAGGTAACTTTTTGAAGTACTGGAGAAAGAAAGGGATTTTTTTTGTGCAACTAAAGCAAAATTTTCAGATTTGTATCAACTCTAATAACGTGTATGTATATGTACATTAATCTTAAGTATCAAAATCATTTTTGGGTCTCAAATAGAGTTTATTAAAAATATACATACATAAAAAATTTTTATAATAATTTTAATAAAAAACGTTTTAATAACAAATTATTGGTTTAAATATTAATGTACACAAAAGGTGACCATTGGGAACCAAGATTTTGAAGA